TAGTTAGGTATTTTGTTATTTATAATTAGCTCAATAGACATCAATATTAGGGGCTCCATATTTTTTGACTCATACACTTATTCATGCAAACATATTTTATATAAGCTTAGTAATTTAGTTCAAAAGTCATTCGGCCAGACTCAATGTACTTAGGCCTCAAAGGTCAATTCTCATGACCTAAAACACGACTTGATTACTTTGGTATCATCAATTCAATATATTATGTTATTGTCGTAATTATTTCATTCACTAGCTCACATGTCTTAAAACCACTTGATGCATTCAATTGCACTTTTTCATTTGACATACAAGGGGTCATTGTGATGGTAATGTTTAAATCGTTCAATAGTCTATCTTGTTAGAATTTGCATTGCAGGAAAATTGTATAAGAATATCATAGTGCAGGACAACATTCACAAGCAACTAAATGCCAACAAGTGACACGGACAAGCTCCAAGTCAAAGTGTCATAGAGGAAATTTCGACTCACACACAATGATCAAGGGTCTGATGATTAAGGCTGAAGGATTAACAAATAATATATATTGATCAATTGAGTCTAAGGGTTACAGTGAGACTATCCAATAGAGGAAAATTCCTAAGTGGTTTATAAAATTAAGAAAACCCCAGCCAAGCAATTGGAAGACGATAAGTTGAGAGGCGCTAACACAAGACTAAAATAGGGAGTCTCCGTATCTAAATTATCTAAGTATGACATGAAAATTCATACCATGATGGACAAGATTTGCAAAGCTCCTCTAGTTTTGAATGGGCCGACTATATCTAGTTGTCAAGCGTAATACTAGTCTTGATCCGTCCCAAACAGGTATATATGTTTGTATGTTGAAAAATATGAAATGGAATGTCTGATCCACATGAGCTCATATTAATTATCACACATAATTACAATCAAGGGAAATGAAATGCCTCCGATTGAAATCAACAAGGTTTTGGTAAAAGCTTTCTGCAAAATTTTGGTAGTGAGAGCTCTGACTCGCTATTCTCACTTAACGCAAAATTCAATTGATTATTTCATTATGCTTTGCACACACGGAGTTTTTGAACTATTAACAACAAGCCAAGTATGATAGTTACAAACCCTTAAAAGTTCATTCACGGATATGAAGGTGTTTGAGCACATTTCAAAGTCATCCAAAGAATTGCACATTATGATGGTTGAGTTACATGTTGAAATGGGAAAAGAGAGCACGTGGACTACGAGTGACGATTGTCATAGCAGGCATCATAGGAGTGAAGGACTATCACCTTAGGTTTCACTTGGTGTCCAAGAAGGCATCTCGTTGCCTTATATAGCTAACTTGGCATATCAAAAAATTTCTCCTTTTCACGTTCTAGGAGAGATGTTTTCATCATTTCTTATTCCATAAACCTAAACCACAACTATTTAATGGCCCCCCAAAAAAGGTTAGGTATATATATTGGGTTTGATTCTTCATCTATGATTTGCTACCTTGAGCCATTGACAAGAGATTTATTCACAACAAGATTTAGAGATTATCGATTTTGGTTAAATAATTTTTTCGTAATTAGGAAAGTGAAAATGAATTTAAAGAGAAATTGCATGGAAAGTTTCATCATTATCTCATTTGATGGATGTGATTACAACTTATCTTTACGGTTTACTTGATAATGACATCTACATGAAAATTTCAGAATGACTTAAAATGCCTGAACCATATAGTTTGAAAATCTGAGAAAATATGCTCAAATAAATTAAAGAAATCGTTACATGCTTAAAACAATTAGAGTGCATGTGGTATAATCGTCTCAGTATTTGATAAAAGAAGGTTATATGAATAATGTCACTTGCCTTGTATTTTTACTAAGAAAACAATATCAAGTTTCACTATACTTGATACTTATGTTGATGACATTAATCTCATCGGAACTCCATAAATGGTACAAAAGACAATTGCATATCTAAATAAACAATTTGAAATGAAAGATCTTGGTAATATAAAAGTTTGTCTTGGTCTACAAATAAACATTTAATAGACGAAATCTTTATCCATCAATCCCTTACATTAAGAAAATTTTAAACAAATCTACATGGATAAAACATATCCATTAAATACTCCAATGATCGTTAGTTCACTTGAAGTGAGTAAAGATATGTTTTGATCTCAAGAAAAGAATGAGGAACCTCTTGGTCTTGAAATATCATATTTTAGAGCAATTGGTGCACTTATGTATCTTGTTAATGCTATGAGACCTGATATAACATTTTCTGTTAATTTGTTAGCAAGATATAGTTCTTCCCCTACAGGAAGACATTGAAACAAAGTTAAATATATATTAAGATATCTAAAAGGGATCATTGATATGAGTATATTTTATACTAACAAAGATAGTGTATATCTTGATGATCTTACAAATATATGTTACTTATTTGACCCACATTAAAATCGATCTCAAACAAACTATTTTTTAACATGCGGAGGTATTGCTATATCATGACGATTTACGAATCAGTTCATTATTGCTACTTCTTCAAATCATTCTGAGATAATAGCTATCCATAAAGCAAGTAGAGATATATATGGTTGAGATCAATGATACATTTCATCAAGGAAAGACGTGGCTTAAAGTGTGATATCAAAGTACCCACAACCCTCTTTGAAGACAATGTCGTATGCATAACTCAATTAAGAGGAGACTCAAAAAAGGAGATAGAACGAAACACATTTTACTGAAGTTATTCTTCACACAGAAGAATGGTAATATTGATGTACAAAAAATTCATTCAAGTGCTAATTCAATAGATTTATTTACTAAATCTTTACCAACCTCAACTCTTAAGAAGATGATACACAAGATTGAAATGTGAAGACTTAACCATTTAAATCAAGGTCTTCATCGGGAGTAGAATACGCAATGCTCTCTTTTTTTCTTATTCTATATTTTTTTTCCATTGGATTTTCCTAGCAAGATCACTAATGAGGTAGCAACCAATACATAATAAGAATGCCTATATATTTTTGTTCTTCAACTTTTCGTTTACATAAACATCCAAGGGGAGTGTTGTCAAAATGGTGGATGCTCATGTGAAATGGAACCCACCCTTTGTAGTCAAGAATCAAAAAATAATTTCTTACCTTTTGAACTTTGGCTATAAATAACCACTTCATAGAGAAAATGATATACAATACAATACACTTTCTGCTAGTGTTTAGTTTAAGTACGTTATTTATATTGAAATTTGAGATGATTTCGTAAAGAATTAAAGATGTTGAAAATTTGAGATTTGTTTGTCTTTTTCATGTATTCATAGTGTTCTAAAAGAAAAAGAAGTAAAAAATGTATATTTGATCCACAAACTCCAATTGAAAAGTGTTAAACTTTGTTTGAGGTGTAAACAACGGTTTGACAAAATTAGAGTTAAAAAATGGCATTGATGAGCCTTTTCTTTAATAATGGTATAGATGAGACAAACTTTCAACTAATGACATAATGAACCTTTTTAAAAAAAGTTTGATGACATATTTGAATCTTTTCCCTTTATTTTATAGCAATATACACTTTTTCTATGACAAAGCGATCTACACAAGAGGATTGTATTGTTTGTTAATATTTACTTGAATTTGACATATTTATTAAGAAAATAATTATTAATATATTTATTTTATCTATTTATAAATTAATATTGAGAGAATGACCTGAAAGACCCCTATACTTGGCTCCGTTTGTCAGTTGAACCCTCATGCTCATCACTTTGTCAAGTAGACCCTTAAACATATAAGAATACAATACTTAAGCCCTTTTCTCCTCTGGTTGGTGTGCTTGTAATGAATGAAATTGCATGTGGAATTCCACATCATTTAGTGTCACACGCAAAATTAAGTGCTACAAAAATAAAAAATAAATCAAACAGATCAATTTTTTTATTTCTAAAACTTTTCAAATAGTCATCTTCTTCATATTTGGTCACAAATTGAGCACTATATTCATACTCATTAGATCAAATTCTTCTTGATTTAACTTGTAAATTCAACTACAAGTTCACCAACACAAATTCAATGAACCCCAACAAAATTTTCATTAATTTTACATATTCACAAGACCTATTTATTATGTTTTATTCTTTTCAAGCTTATCAATGGTGTTTTAAAATTTTCAACAGTCACAATCATCCTTCACATTATCCACATCTCCTTGTTGAAACCATCTAATAAAAGAATGATACTAATATTTTTTAAACCTAAAAACCGAAAATTTTAGAAGAAGTTGAGGCTACTCATTTGTATAAAAATAAAAGAAGAAGAAGAAAGAAGAGGCAGAGAAGAGTGAATGTGGGGCTGGAGAAAGAAGAAGGTTGAGGCATGTGGTGAGGGGTAGTGAGAGAGGACTAGTGGAGAATAAGAAAGGGTGGATGAGTGGGTGAAGAAGATGAATCTTATATTTTAATTTTGTTAAATTGCTTTTATAAAAAAGTAAAATGTTATTTTAACTCGCTCACTACACAATTTTAGGCCTACGACCACGCCAGTAAAGTGTAGCCTAAACTAACAAAAAGTGTGACTTTTGATAAAAGGCTACACTTTTGGACTTTAGGCAACACTTTTTAGAGGGGAGCCTAAAGAAACGTAGCCTTTGAAATTAGGCAACACTTTTTAAATTTTGTCATCATAGCTACACTTATAAAGCGTGCCCAAGGAGGTATAAGGGCACGCTTTGTAGTGATTCATTAGCAATACCTTTTTTCTATTATACTACACTGAAAAGCGTTCTCTTTGCTTGGATATTGATCACACTTAAAAAGTGTTTCCTTTTATATCTCATGTAGAACAACACTTATAAAGTGTAAATTTTCTTAAAAGTCCTATAACAACACTTCTGAAGTGTGGCAATGTTGTGTAGAATTTTGTAGCTACAATTTTTTATTTTTAAGCTTAATAATTTTTATTTGCATATATTCAATAGTCACATAATTAAATATACAAAGGAACCTAAAACACAAAATTAACTAATAATTATATCAAAGTTATGTATTTTAAATAAACTTTGAGAAATATGTCGTGTACAACCAATACTTAAGAAAGTGATTGCTTAAAGATCTCTACTATCAATAAATTCGACAAAACCAAATGCATCCGAACATATATGACAATAGTACAAAAACTCTTCATCGTTCACTACAATAGACCGAGTTTAATTCTGGCTACAATTCAAATGCAATTGCTGGCATTTTTCTGCACATTCAAAATGAAATTACAAGTTAGTGAAATAAATGTAAAAGTACATAATTGGAGAGTATTCATTGTAAGACAACCAATATACATATATATATATATATATATACATACATACATATATATATATATATATAACATTTATCGGCACATGAATTCTGATTTCCACATGTATTGTAAACAAGAAGGACACTTGTTACATTATGTAATATTAAGCAAAGAGATGCGGAACTTGAAAAAAGAAAAGAGTTTGAGGCTAATAGGAAGAACAAAAACAAAAGGGAACAAGTCAAACAAGATTCCAGAAACCTTGCAAATGCAATACACAGATAGAGAGGTTGGAAACACCAGTTCACAATACCAGCAACATCAAAACATAGAAATAACATAGCATGGACAGACCCAAAAACAAGGAAGCACCAAGCCAGCTGATGAAGAATGGCAGACTCAGAAGAGGAAAGCTTACAGACCAGTTCAACATATCATGGACATACCAAAACTCCTAAGGAAACATTGCAGCTGCAGCAGCAGCACTCATCACACAAGCATACAATATATGGATCTCCATCCATGACATTGCATTTTGAAGCCTGTTAATATGTCCTCAATGACCTAACCATATATCTAGCCAATCTGCATTTTCAAAGTAGTTAGATTGAACAATCACTACATTTTGAACACGATTTGAAAGCGAGGAATTTTAAGAGATGAATCAGAATTAGTATCTCTTTTCCCCATTCTGTTTCATCTTCATAGCAACAACTTATTATATAAATGAACTACTTTTAGTAGAGAAGTTGTACAAGCAATTTTAAGAGTCCTACCATTTTCTAGCAGTGTTGATACAAAACAAACATGAGATTGTCCGAATTTAGTTTCTAACTTGTGGTTAGAAATAACAGCTCGATTTTCACCTTCTATAGTCACATTGACATAAAACAATTGAACTGGCCAGTGAGGAACTTCAATTAAATGGTACTAGCATAGTATGTAGAAGGATGTCTGAATCAGTTTACCTTGTGTGACCTCTTGAGAGACCATTAATTCCAGGGAGTCTTCGTCAATTAAAAAAGGCTTGACCTCAGATTGAAGGCTTCGTGGCTTTGAAGAATATAACCAAGAAACTCTTAATAAAATCTATAATACCATTAAAGTAGTCTCAAAATTTCATGTCGTGCTTTCGCTTTCATGGAAAAGAATATATGCTCGAGAACTGTCTATTGCTTGTACATGTTTTGCTGCTGCAAATAACAAGAAAGACTTCCATGTAGCAGCTATTGCAATAAATGATTCGATAGGCTCAATAATAGTTATCTTCTGTTGATATTTTTCCTGAAAATTGTTGGCTAAGGAAAAGGGTAAATAATCAAATGAGATTATTGAGAACACAAACCAAAACTTCAATTTCAGCAAATTGTTTGACTTCTGAATATCCATTCTAAACCAGAATTAAAGAGGAAAAGTGCATCATTCTTAAGAGAGACGTCTCCAAAGTTTTACCAAAGTGGCGTGAGTAAAGATGACATCAATCAAGTTAAAATTGAAGATATCACCTTGAATAACTTTGGCATGTTAGCCAATGCAACTGACAGATTCCACTAAGTTAGCAAGCTCGACAAGGAGGCTTTGGTCCAGTCTACAAAGTAATGTAATTTTACACATCTCTACAGTGTTCCTGAAAGTGCAAAAATATGAAATAAATTAGATTGATTATCAGCAGAGAAGATCTGATGGATAGGAAATTGCAACAAAAAGGCTTTTACAGTCTTCTAGTCAGGCGCTACAGGAACTTATGAATAAGTAGTTGTGATTTCAAGACTAAAACATTGTAATCTTGTTAGAATCCTTGGTTGGTGCAAAGATTGTGAGAAGTGTATATATTTGAATGTGCAATGTTGATGTGAGCGCAAATTAGTCAGGCATAAGATTATAGATCCTTTCGAAGAATGTAACTGAAGAAATCAGCTCCACACTCGATGTCATCTATCTTTCTGTTTCCAGATTGAGTTATCAATACTTCTGCAATTTCTGTACGAGCAATCTCTCCCAATTTCTATCATCTGTAAACATTTCTTTCACTCTCAAATATTTTAATCGAAAATCTTTATCACGCACCTAAAAATGTGTTAAAAACTCAATATAACCCTAGAGGATCAAAAGAATTACAAAATAAAATGCATCAACATCTAACCTTCATTTACTGTTATTTGCATAATAGACTAAATAATTACGACGAAGAAACTGAACATGTTATTATAACATTTCAATTTATTTATTATCAAAGCTCCTACATAAACCGAATAAGATAAGTAAAACCCTACACATTATCCCTCATTGATCAAGAACTATATTTACTAGATGATAACTGATCCACAAAGTAATATGCTCACTAGTAAATGACAGTTCTTAAGCATACTTCCAATCAGATGAACTGAATATATATGCTAGTATAATGCATTATTGCAAAGGTTTATGCTCTCTATAGAAAGGTCTTCAAACTTTCCAACAACTTACATCGAATTTGATGATGGAATGAACATGAACTGCAGTGTAACAAGAGCACTACATCACTATTTTTCCTCTCCATTTGTCACTACTTATATCTAAAATCCTATGGACTATAACCTTAAAGTTGATGTGTTTAATGTCCGTTTTCTCAAAAATGCATACATGGTGAGGTGAGAATCTACATTACCAAAAACGAACAACAGAGAGAAGACTATTCCAAGCTTTCTCCGATTCCCTTGGAAAGTCCAAAAACATTGAGCATTCAAAATACATTTGTCTTAATTGTTGAAAAATGCAGTAACAAAATTAATAAATGTGCTTTCTAAGAATTTAACTTCAGAGAACAATAAAAATGAGTAGAAGGACATTTTTGCAATTACTTAATCTTCACAATACTAAAGTGAAAAAATGGGAAAGCAGGCAAAGCGAGTACATTTGGTCCACATCAATCAAAAATGGATCAGCCATATCTCCATCAACAATGGTTAAGCAACATCCGCATAAGAAGAGATCGACATAAGCATATAAACATCATGGTCGTTCCTGCAAAACCAGAGTGATAAGCACTATGCATTTAAAGAGAGCACCAACTACTATTTTGAGAAACATTCATATTATACTACGACCTCATCAGCCTATATATTAATATTCTTTGTTGTTGTTATCAACAAGAAAACTCATATTGTACTCAAACATATATGCCGAAATTGACAAACCAAAAACACTACTTTTTCATGGCGAAATGGATAAATTAAAATCTGTGGCTTATCATGAATAAATAGACAAATCGTAATCATTAATTCCATTTAAGGTACCCTTCAAATGCCTGATGAAATTTGCTGAAGAGTTGGCAGTACAATGAGAAACCCTTTAAAACAATTAAAATATTTATGGCAATACTCTTGATTTTTATGAAATTGGGGGGAAATAGATCTACAGGGAAAAATATTATTTTTTAGATAAAACAATTATTTGAATTAATAGAGCACATTTATTAAGTGTTGTTATAAGTGTTGAAAATATATCACACTTAAAAGTGTGATCATAGGAATAAATAAGTGTTGCCAATTTTTTTGTGATTTGCCAACGCTTATAACGTGTAGTCTATAATTACAATTACGAAGAGTATATTTTAGAAGTGTTGCCAAAAATTTTGGGGCCAAAAACTCTATACAAAAGTCACACATTAAAAGTGTTCTCTTAGATATTCTTGGCAACACTTTTTAAGTGTTGCCTTGAATTTGTGTGGGCTTAGACCATATTTGTTGTAGTGGCTTTGAAACGCGTATAATTACACATATTTTCAACTCACCAATATTAATGTCACATAAGTTTGGTCAATGGTCAGATGGGTTAAGAACATTGTGTTCTGATGAGTTTAAGGGTTTGATTGACAAAAAATGATGAGTAGAAGGGTCCAAGTGACAAATCGAGCCAAGTACAAAGGTCTCTCAGGTTATTCCGTCATTAATATTTAGTATTGAGTCTTAAAAAATAATATAAAAAATGATATTTAATGGTAAAAATAAAATATGAAAAAAATGATAATCTATGTCAAAAAGTGAATAGAGGGAGGAAGTAATTTGTTGCACTCCCTCTGTTCCTTTATGTGTATCATCGTTACTATGAATAGTTGATTCATAATACTTGTTATTTTATAAAATCAATGCATAAGCTTCGATATTCTTTCTATTTTACCCTTGTGAGTTATTAGTTTTGAAAATATACATTCGACCAACAGAGAAAACTAAGTAAATAATTCAAATTCATCGATCAAATTAAATAATCAAAATAAATTAATCATTATTCATTAATTGAAAAGTTGACTTAAATTTTTTAAATAAGGATAGAATAGTTAGCTTACTTAATTTCTTTTGGGAAACTTTCACATATAACCACTAAAAATAACTTAATTACACTCCATAGTTATAATTTGTTAATTAAGATTCGTAGCTTACATGTTATAGAGTGAAAAGTTGCGAGCGAGATTGAGAGAGGGATGAAAGAGACGAGCGAGATCAGGAGAGGAAGGCGAGATGACAATAATTTGTATAATTTACACCTCATTTATATAATTTGCGAGTACATTTGTATAATTCACGTGTTTTTGTATAATTGAGTGATATAAAGTTTAGAAATATACAAATATGATAAAACTCAAAAAAAAAAAAACAAGTTGATACAAACATAAACATATGAACTTTTAACAGTTGTATAAAATATACGGAAATAGGCCTAAAATACCCTCAAAGTATTGGAAATGGTACAAAACTACTCTCCATCCACCTATTGACTCCAAATGACCCTCTCATCCACCTATTGGCTCCAAAATACCCTTCTCATCCACCTTTAGGTTCAAAATTGACTACTTATTTAATGATTTTAAACTTAAACTATTTAGATATTTTTTTAAATACTTGACGTTCAACTATTGGTTATAGTTAAATTTTTCATATCATGTATAAACCAATCACTACCCACCCATTACTAATTAAACCCACCCAATTAATAAACCAATTCTAATATCAAAATCGCCCTGAATACTACTAAGGAACGACAAATCACATATTCTTGAAAATAACATCCAAAATTATTCGAGTCCGAATTGAAGGCTCAATGTAATTTAGGTTTAGCCTCTTATTTAAGAGGACACTTTCAATAGGATTCTCTTTCAAGCTTGAATTCAAAATTTATAATTAAAGGTAAATATGTAGTACATCCCGAATTAATCCGTGCACTTCTTTTAATATAGTTTTATAAATATATATGATTTATTTTAAATATTAAAACTATAATATATTTATTTTAAAAAAAAGTTATCTGTGAAGTAACATCACATAATGGTGATGAAGGAATAATTAAGATGAATGTAGCCAAACTTTTAAGTTTATCGATAATTATTATTTAGACACTTGAATTATAATATGTTTTGATTGAGGACTTGAATGTATGATAATGTAATTCTATAGATATTTTCGCCTCAAAATTTTATGAACACTCATTAAAAGTAGATTTACTATTGTTGCATTAGTAAAAGGACGAATTTATTAATTGGGGGCAGTTTAATTAGTAATGATGGGTAATGAATTGATTTAAAAATTATATTAAGTTAAGTTATAAAGTTGAGCGCCACATATTTTTAGAAAAGTATTTAAATTGTTTTAAATTTAAAACTATTAAATAAGTGGTCAATTTTGAACCAAAAAATTTATGACAAGGGTATTTTGGAGCCAATAGGTTGGTGAGAATGAGAATTTGGAGCCAATAGATGGATGGATGATAATTTTGTACCATATCTAATACTTGAAGGGTATTTTAGGCACTTTTTCCGTAAAATATATTATAAAAATTACATTCTTTGAATATATTATACAAAATTCGAAAATTACACATTTATACAAACTTTAAAAAATTATACACAATAAGATTGTTAGTGACAAAACTGAAAATCAAAAAAAAAATCATTGTCATATACAAATACGAATCAAATAAAGAATTTTTAATTGCAAAGTATATAAATTTAGCAAATTATACAAACGTGACTAATTATACAAAGTTAAAATCAACCCATGTAATTAATTATTAATATCAATTGCGAGTGATAATTATAATTACGATGATTAATTAAGTAGACTAAATTTATTTAACGGCCTAAATTTTTCTCATTTTTTAGTGCATGTGAAATAAAAACTATGACATATAGATGAGAACAGGAGGAGTAAAAAAAGAGTGTCAATTTTGGGGGGAAACTCAAAATTTTTCACGTTTTTCAATGTAAGGGTGACAAATACTCGAGTTTGAAATCGAATTGCCTCACCCGACTCTCTGAAAGTAATAGTCTTTTTCATCTTCCATGAATGGTGGTGATCTGCAACTCCTTTGAGGTAAGGTATGCATCTGACAGTGTCCCTCCCTCTTTTGGTGTTTTTGTTAATGCTCTTGAGGTATCTCTCCCACAACAATGTCTTTTTATGGGAAAACATCACATCCACTAGAGGCAAATTGGGGTTACTCTTTATAAATGGATCTAATCCCAAATAACATTCTAGGTCTTAGCTCTTCTCTATAACTCTTGCCTCTTTAACATTGATACATATTCTTCAACTGCATAGCACTTTTTCACCTTGGTTCTATGCGTGACAAGTGAACGAGCTGCGATGTCTACTAATGGGTCATAGAGTATCAACTTTTTTTTTTCTCTAAACCAGTGAACCAAACTCTTTACCTTTTTTTTTAAGAGGTATCAACATTAATATATACATGTATCAAATCAAAATTTGGTGTATCTATACAATGTGATTTTCCGACAAAGGGTAGCTCCGCCCCTGTGTGTGGTATCTTTATCTACCATATACCATTCTCTTGTTAGGCACTGTAATGCCATTTAACCTTACCTCCTTAACAAAAAAACAGATGTCCTAATCTTACCTCAACTTCACTCTTTGTAAGCTTGTAGTGCATATGTTAATCTTATGTCTATGCTAAACCGTAGCTTTGTTGAGTGTTTCTCCATTTTTCTATATTCAAGCTTGTGATGACACCCTCAGATGGTTTATCCACAACTAGTCTATATCTATAAATAGCATAAAATTGGACCTCATCTTAACTTTTTAATAAATATCTTATGTAATTGTACTTTATCAACATTTGAAGAGGCTGCTGCTGACACAACTGAAAAGTTGAAAGGGGCAATTTCTTTTGCTTTGTTAACTGGAAAAAGCTCAAAACAGTATGAAATTATGGCTATAGTGAGGAGGAAAATGTTCACTAGGACCTTCTTTAAAAGTATTATATTTTTCAATATTATGGTTTCTCTGTTATACTTCAAATATCAAATAACACAATAACACATCTGCTCTCTGAACTGTGCTGCATAGTCACCCATACACGGCTCTCAAACCCAACCTGTGGTGGATCCCGGGAGACAAAGTCAAAACGCATGGAGATGCTCTTCTCCTATTTTATGAATACTACAACTCTCTTTACTGAGCAAGACTATCTCCTTCAATGATGTATAAATTATTTAGGAATATTCAGCTCTTATTTCAGGGTCCTCATTATAAAAAAGGAATCAACAAATGATTTTGTTATTGAAATATATGTCTGTTCCTGTTGTTTTCACAGTCCCATTGCTCATACTGATTCGAAGTTTTGATGCTGTTTCACACTTTTGTGCCAACTGGTGTTGGGCCTGTTAACTCATGGGGGATTTTTTTCGGTCGTAACAAAAAAAGACTAATGTTTCTTAAGATAGAGGGGGGAGGGGGGTTAGATAGTGTTTGTATGTTGGTGAAGAAAATGAAATTATTTTAGACAAAGCGAGTGTGTTTGTGTGTGTGTGGGGGGGTGGGGGGTGGGTAGTTAGTGTTTGGATGTTGGTCAAGAAATGAAGTTATTATAGAAATAGTGTTTGCTAGTCTTTGATGGAAATTTTTGGGGAAGTGAGTTAAGTATGAATATCATTGTTCCAAGCCTTTGATCAAACTATTTAAAAAACTTGGGGAACTTTCAAATTCTCTAGTAGACAACAACATACCCAGTGAACCCACAAATAGCTTATGAAGAAGAGTAGAGTATGCAAACCAGACCTTAACCCTACTTTGTGGAGGTAGAGAGACTACGGATGAAGGAGCCTTGGCTAAGGTGCAACACATCGAAGTAGTTATAGAAAGGAAAACAACAGTGAAGAAAACATGTTGACTTGAGGAAAACAATGTTGACCATTCAAGAAAGGAACAACAACAACAAAATAGTGAAATAATCAGAACACACTAAACAATAGATGTTAATAAATATCAAAAGCAAGAAACTACATGAATAAGGTTAATACTACGATAGATACAGTGCTCCAGATCACTACCAAGCTTAATTTTGCTGAAAAGCAACTATTACCTTAATTCATAACCTCCAAACCCCTTATATCTAAGGTCATGTCCTCGGTAAGCTAAAGGTGTACCATGTCCTTTCTAATAACCTCTTTCCAATACTTCTTTGGCCTACCTCTCCTCGCACCCACTATATCCAACCTCTCATACCTTCTCATTGGGGCATTTGTGCATCTCTTCTTTAGATGCCCAAACCATCTCAATCTTGTGTTACTCACCTTTTCCATCATGGAGGACACTCCCTCGACTAAATATCTTCATTGCAAATTTAAAGATTGAAATAATCTTGTATTTCCATCTTTTAGTTTTGCTTCTATTTTATTGATAAAGTTGTCTTGCATAGGAATCAGGTAATATCTTTTGATCATTATATTTTTGGTTGCTTGCTCATGTTATGTGGTTGTATTTTGAGAGAAAAGTTACTCCTTAACCGTGTTAAAGGATTTTTATTTTTTTGAGAAAGGGCTTGTATTATAAACAAAAGAATACATAAGGAGTATTCTAGTAATACTTACATCCAAAAGTTGCAAAAGAAAGTGAACTCCTATGGAGGTCATAAGAACTCTAAAATACTAGGAATATCCTCTGCATCTTGAGGATATTCATGTTTACTCCAAAAAAAGAAAAGAACCAGACAATTCAGCTTCAAATTCTGCATAGAACAACTCTTGTTTGTAATTCTTCATAAAAGATTAGATGCAACTTATTTATCCCCAACAACAACAACATACCCAGTGTAATTCTACAAGTGGGATTTGGGAATGGTAGGATGTGTACATACCTTACTCCTACCTTTGTGGGCTAGAAAGACTATTTACGGTAGATTCTCGGCTCAAAAAAGTGTAGTCAAAGCAGGCATGAAAGGAAAATAACATCACAATGACAAGATACACAAAGCAAATGAAGCAACATATAGCAGTGAAAAATCAAGAATAAGATACTAAGAGAATATTAACTAATATTACCAAATAAGGAGAAGAGGAGATAGACCCTTGCCTCTCCCACATAAAAGGTTGACAACACTTTAATACCTATCCCCTTCTACCGTAATCCTACATCCACACCTTCCTAGCTAGGGTCACGTTCTAAGTAAGCTAAAAATGTGTCGTGTCATTTCTAATCAACTCCAATAGTTCTTCTTTGTTCTACCTCTATCTCTCCTAAAACACGCTATAGCCAACTTCATTCACCTCCTAACTAGTGCATCCTCACCCTTCCTTTTTTACATGCCTAAACCATTTCGATCTCACTTCCCTCTTGTGTCTGTCACAGAGGCCTTTCTCACATTGTCTCGTATAATTTTGTTTCCAATTTTATCTCTCCTAATATGCCCTCACATCCATTTGAGCATCATTATTTTGCTGTCATCATCTCTAGAATATTACATTATGTGGGTTTAACCACCATCCTGTAGAACTTACCTTTAAACCTTGACAACATTCTTATTACGCAGTACCCAGGATCCGGGCCTCCATTTCAACCATCTTGCTCCAATACAATATGCGACATTATGGTCAATCTATATGTTTCGTTAGATAATAGAGCCAAGTTACTTGAAAGTTTCTTTCTTGGGAATGACTCGTGTATTGATCTTGACTTCCATCTCCACTTCATGCCTCACGTCACTGAACTTGTACTCTAGATTCACATCTTAGTTCATCCATTATGCAAATTTTAAATTTTCTTGTAGGTGTTCTGATCTCTGGTTGTGTTGTCTATTTATAGAACCTTTATGTCTTCTATCTTTGCGTTAGAACTTTCTCTGGGATAACATAAATGTTAGGTGGACTGACAATCAAATATATGATCTTGAAGCATTCCAAAAGCCTTCATGGATACCGAGCATGGCACATCTAATCTACCTTGGACATGGGTGATTGAAACATTGGCAACTTCCAAAGAGATAGACACATCTTTACTCATTGGTATGTATGAAATTACAGTTACTTTGTGACAAAAACTGTTGTATCAGCTGTAATGATGGTTGTTTGACTATTATGGTTCATGCATAACAGATTTGGTTAAGCAGATTCCAGAAATTTCTGATGAAATGGGAAGAAATGCAAGGGAGCTCGTCTCCTTGAGAGTTTTAGAGACCTTGTCTGTCCAGGAAATCTCACATGCAAATAATGATGCTTCAGTTCCTGGTGATAAAATTGAATTGAATCAATCAGTGCACTGTGAAGATGTCCTTCACCACTTATTGTTTGAGGTAAGTACATTAGTTTAACTTATCGAAAATTGATTTTATGGTTCAGTAACTCAGTTTATTAAATGATTTTTTTCTGTGATTTTAATTTGCTTAGAAAAGACAATCTATGCTTGAGAGTTTTGAATAATGCTGTTTTTACATGCTTAAATCGGCATCATGTGTACATTTGACCAGGTCTCATCAGATCAAAACATGGATGGGCCAGAGCTGTCAAAATTGGATGTTCAGTCATATATTACCAAAAAAAGATCTTGCTTGCCGAAATGTGCTTTGCAACAAGTGAGCTAATCTTATTTTATATGTGAAATTTAGTAAGTTCTCACATTTGTAATTTACCTGTCTGATTGTCTGGGGTTTTCTGTGTTTCCAAATGACAATCAGATTAAGGATACAGTAGATGCTACCAATCCTCTTGCTACATCCTTGGAAACAAATAACGGATCGGAGGTTGGCAGTAACTCCAGAGATGGAGATTGTTTAAATGCTGTTGATTCTAATGGCATTAACCAGAGATGTGAAGTAGGCGGTGATGCTGAACATGTTTTATCAAGTGGGAATGCAACTACTTGTCTGGAGGCCAACACTAATGGCGTGCAAGAAAATCAATCTAGGACTCTCGTTCCTTATAAGAGGACGATTGATGCCTTTACTGCTCATGAAGGTGAACATAGTGAAACTGAACCCTTATCAGAGAACAGTTCTGGTTCTTGCATAAGGTCCCCCAGAAGGTTTAAGCAGGAAGTCATTAGTCCCAGGTGTGATGCAGTTCATGATTTTGAATCAATTCAAAGAGATGGTGTTTCAACAGAGTTGTCTGCACAAATTCCCCATGCTATTGTCCAAAAAGGGAACCTGGAAAATGGAGCTCTTGTTGGGGGATTGGATGGTAGTTGTGAGGGTGCTGCATCAAAAATGGTTAGACAGAACATCGATGCCAGTAACAATGATGATCTGTTGCCTGAAATAATGATTTCAGAGGAAAAGATCCAAAATGTTGTAAGTAGCAGCAAAGCTTGCGATGAATTGAGAACATCAAGTGGTTCGTCGCCGCAGGTAATTCATCAGGATTCTTGCATTTGTGGAGCTAAAGATCATCGGAAGTGCATTCAGGGAAATTTATTCAAAGGTGTTTCTGGAGGAGCCAAAAAGAATATTGTGGGAAGTGATGAACCTGAATTCTCTAGTGACAGTGATGGATATCAGAATGAAATGACTGGACTTTCTGCAATGAGAAATGATTTTCTTAGCTCTCAGTGCGCTCAAGGTCAAGATCCCTTGACAACTGAAAATGGTAGAGTGCTCAATCTTTGTGTGAAATGTAATGAGGCTGGGCAACTGTTGATTTGCAGTTCGAACACCTGCCCGTTAGTGGTTCATCAGAGCTGCTTGGGTTCTGTTCCCAGCTACGATAATGAAGGAAACTTTTACTGTCCCTTTTGTGCATATTCTCGAGCAATTTCTGAGTGCCTAGAATTTAAAAACATGTCTTTGCTTGCAAGGAAAGATTTGGCCTCATTTGTTGGGCGACGATCAAAGAAATCCTCACGTAACTCATGTAGAACAAAGAACCTGTCTAGAGAGGATGAAGAACTGTGCCATGATAAAAATAGTAAGGATGTTTTGAATGATGTCATAGAAGCCAGGAGTGCTCTAGTCTGTACAAATTCTTTGAATGGTAAAATTACGGAGATGCCTTCACCTCAACCAGAGGCTTCTGTGACTCATGAACCCGTGGCAGCTGGACCAAGATCCAAGATATCACCAACTAGATTGCATAAATCAAAGCAGAAACTATCCAGGGAGGAAGAAAAATTGTGTCACAACGAGTACAGCAAGAAGAAATCCTTGAACCAGGTCCAAGAACCAGGAAATGCTCCAGTCAGTATAAGTTCTCCTAATGCTGAATTTACACAGATAGGTTCACCTCAACCAGACGCCTCTGCACCTCCTGAACTTGTGAACGGACAGAGTGGTTTTGAAGAACAATGTTCTGAAGATGAAGACACAATTGCTTCCCGTTATTGTGTGCGATTTAGGAATTCAGACAAGAACTAGCAAGTCTTTTACTTAAAAGTGCTCAATTATGCAAATTCATGTGTTTAGCATGTGTATTCTTCCAAAATAGTCACCATTTTTCTTCCGCTTCAGAAATCCATCTGCTGCTACTGCAGGTGTGTAGATATCTCAAGTTTTGGATAGATGGAAGAAGTTTTTGGAGTTCGGAAGTTTGATGTTTTCCAGATGTTGGATCAACTCCACCCTAGTTGGTTAGGGGCTCGGTCTCAGATGGTTCCCTTTTATGATATTATTAGCTAGGCTGGTCCTCCTCCAAGCTTGGGGTCTTAATCTTATGGGTGCTCAAATCGGCCCATTTGTTATTTCTATGTTAGTATCCGAGGCTAACTAAGAATGGCACGTTGTTCTGTTAAGTTTTTGTCCTTGGGTGGGTATCGAAGGGCTTAGATAGTGTACTTGTGCCCCTTTACCAGCTTTTCTGGTTTGCTACTATCCAACAATGGTATGTTTTGTTCTTGTAATTTTTAGATTCATGTGGGTGTATGAAGGTTTAAATAGTTAAGCATGCTCATCTTAAGGTATATTGGATTGTTAGCCATTGAGGCCAGCCAAGTGGATATTGTTGGTAAATTTTCACCCTGATTGGAAATAGAAAGGCGTAAATTGGTTTACCTACAAAATAGTATTCCCTCTGTCTCATTCTATATGAGATATGAAAAACTTTTAAAATTTGTGGTTTAGAGTTAATAAAAATTTCATTTTATTAAAGATATAATAAATATTTTAAAGTTAAATTATTACTTAATATAAAATTGTATCATTTGCCAGTCTTATAAAGTTGAAATTGAGGGAGTAATGTTTTAGTAAGTACAACTTGGATGGTGATTTAAGATAAAAAAAAGAAAAAAAAAGAGAGTACCCCTTTGAATCCACTAATACAGTCAGTATGTGTCAATCAAGACTTGTTAGTATTTGTTGAGAAAATTATAGCTCGATACCTTTGTGCCATCTAGTTTATTTTATTATTACTAATATACATCCCTATAATGTATAAGACATATACAATATACATACCTATGTATGCACAATATATACAACTGAGTACATTCAGTATATATTTGTCCATATTTGATAAACTAGATGGCTGAGTGATACATACCGGTAACAACCCCTGTTTTGTTCTCAAATGATTCAAGAAAAAGAAGAGCAAAATTTCATTTTTACCCCTATTAATTAACTTTAACTTTTAGTCATTTGGTTATTGTTTAGAGTTAAACATGTAGTAGTTATGTTTGATTTAGTTATGTATGTATTAGTTATGTAACGCTTAGTTATATAAGTTTTAACTAAACAGAATTTAGTTAGATAAAAATTACAATACATTAGTAAGTTAATTCATATTTCGTAATTTCAAAATGTCTAGTGAGCTAATATTTATTATACCCAATAAATATCAATAGCTAAAAACAATACAATATATAACGAATAGTAAATGAGTAAAAAATCTAACTAAATAAAATAAGCATCATAATAACCACTATATGACAACAATTTTACTTTTCACCAACATAGCAGTAAAATTTTTAGACAAAAATAAAATTAAAAAGATGGAAAATCAAAAAAGGAAGCCATACTATTCAATATTCAGTGATATCCTAATTTCTTAATTTCCTCCCTTTTCTTATTTACCTATCTCAAATATTTGAAATTTTAGTTAATGGTATTGGAATTTTTTAAAATTTTATTTAAAACAATGTTTTTTTTAATTGAATATCTAATCGTATTAACGATTTTATTATTCGTGAATGGTATTCGCTCTTAGTGTTGAAACATTAGTTTACTGATATCAAAAGTTTGCTTCTCATATGTTTTTATTGGGAAAAAGATTAGATGTTAAAAGATATAAATTATAATAATTGTTGGTATAATGTTGGTTTTATAGTTGGTTCAAATATTTGTATATTAAGTGGTTTAATATTGGTTAAAAATGCAGTATAAATTTGTAATATTTATTGGTATATCTATGAGTTATATTGTTAGATTAGCACATTGTATCTCTTCAAAATAGAATTACCTAAAAATTACTATGAGACATTTAATGGTATAAAATTACATTATAATATAATAATAGTTCTATATTTCAATTTAAATATATCATATTATATATCAGTTTTAAAAATGGTTCTGTAATGCTTACTAATTCAAAATGATAAGGTTATACCTTTCATATTGTCGAACCGTCGTGAAAAAGTTGATTTTCTTCATGGTATAAAATGATTTCTTATGAAAATTTAATGTTAAAATGGGTTTCATATATATATATATATATATATATATATATATAGAGGTATGTTTAAAGGTATAAATTGCTTTAATAATTGTGGTATAATGTTGGTTGTGTAGTTGATATAAATGTTTGTATATTAAGCAGTTGAATATTTATTAAAAGTATATGGTATAATTCTCTAAAAAAATCGAATTACTTAAGAATTTCTATGGGGCATTTAATGATATTTATATATATATATATATATATATATATATATATAGGTATGTTTTAAGGTATAAATTGCTATAATATTTGTGGTATAATGTTGGTTGTGTAGTTGATATAAATGTTTGTATATTAAGCAGTTGAATATTTATCAAAAGTATATGGTATGATTCTCTAAAAAAATCGAATTACTTAAGAATTTCTATGGGGCATTTAATGATATGAAATATCTAATCATATTCTCACTAAAACAACCAATGATAACATTCACTTTCACTGTTCTATACCATAATACATCTTCCCAACTAAAAACACTATATTAATAGGAAATTACAAAAATCACCAACATAATAATTCAGTATCACATTTAATATCATAACAACAATGTCCCCACAATTCATCAAACCATATTAATTAAGCGGAATGACATGAGAGATCATTATATTTGACTTGATTTGTAAGTTAATTTTCAATACTTACGATTTTGTCAATTGAACCGTTAAATTCATTCAAACACAATATTTTAGACCAATTTCTTATTTGATGGGTGTGCATGTAGCACAAATTATTTTACACATGTAATATCACGTTATTTTTAATGACACATCATTATTATAATTAATTTTCTAATGACACATTACAAATAAAATATTTTAAAAATGTAAAAGACACCCCCTTCCCGCTCCATCTTCTTTATTCCCACCTTCTACCATTTTCAACCCAAAAATAAAAACCACCATTTCATCTTTCATCCTAGATCACACTAAAAGATTTTCTCAATAAAAAATGTGATAGATTATTATTAGTTCTTGCACATGCTTTAGAATTCTATTTATTTTGATTTGATAAAAAGAGATATCAAGAAAATTTCAAATTGAAAAGTATGTTTATATATAAATTAAAGTAATAGATCTTAAAGAATTAAGTTTATAAAAATAGTGAATGATATATCTTCTTGCAAAAACTTTTTTCAATTTTTTATTTGATGATTTTTTAGTGATAATGTGTACGTCAAAGAAGAAGAGAAAAGGAGTAGGGGCAGGGAGGTTGGGGTGGGGGTGGGGTGAGGTCTGAGGTTGAAGAAGAGAAGGGGTAGGAGTGGGGGTGGGGCGAGATGGGGGTGGAGTGCAGAATGAGGTTTTCAATATATTTTTCTAATTTTTTTTTATCATTATTGTTTTGTTTTATAATTTAGATAATTTTAAAATAATAATATTTTATGCACTTACTTCAAAAACCCGTAGGGTCACGTATTTGTCCAATTCAGTCATTTAAGTGCCACATAAGTTCGATTGATGATTAGAGGGACTTGAAAATTAAAGTTTCATCGAGTTTAAGGGTTCAATTGACAAAATCATAAGTACAAAGATCCAACTTAGAAATTGAGTCAAGTACAAAGGTCTTTCAGATCATTTCGCCTAATTAATATATAAATAACCACAAAAAATAGCAACATAATAATTCACTATCACATTCATACAATATCAACACCTTCATATATATAATTGTTTTTTTTTTCAAAATGGGGGCCCTAAGCACTCATAGTATGTATATATATATATATATATATATATATATATATATATAATTGTATATGTTCTTTTTCTAAAAAAAAATTATATGTACTATGAGTGTTATGATTTCTACTATAGAAATTGCATATGAGATGAAACCGAATTTTGTAAGAAATAGTTTGATGAAAACATGGATATCGAAATCACAAAGTCCATTGAAGAATCAAATAGAGATGATTGCTTTATATATGTAGAGTAGATCAAACTATTTTTTGACTTCAAAATAGATTTGAACCGATTGAAACATATGATTTTTTTTAATTTCTTATTAAGTGGTAAAATATTGAGGTAACTAGATGATGAGAATATAGAAAATATTGTCTTAACCTTGAACTTTTTTTTAACACGTAATAGTTATTCTGATATTGATGGTCTAGATTTATTTTTTGAATTAAAAGTGTTAAGAGAAATAATACAAGTAGAAGATAATTATTTAATGAAAATACTCAATCACATAAAAAGACTTGATTCCCTTCAAAATACACATACTACTTATAGAACAATTCTTTTCCAAATACACATATTGCTTAAAGAATAATGTTAAAGTTCCTGTAACCGTTGCCTTACCCAAAAGAAGTTTTTTCGAAACTAAAATTGATTAAATCTTCTTTGAGATTAACAATGTCTTGAGAGAGATCGAATGAATTAAATATATTATCATTTGAAATGAAATAATTAAAACAATTTTTTAATAAAATAATACTTAATGACTTCACATCTAAAATAGCTAGAAAACTAGATTTTAAATAAAAGTATATATGATGAATTAAATAAAATATTAGTGCCCCTATCATAAGTTTCACTTTAGGCCCCCAATGTTATTGAGTCGACCATATATATGTATATATATGTGTGTGTGTGTGTGTGTGCGCGCGCGTGTGTGTGCATGCGGACGGGCGAGCGGGCATGCACATGTGCGTGTGTGTGTGTGCGTGTTTTTTTGTGTGCGTGTGTGTACATATATACTAATTCTCGAACACGTATGTAACGACTGGATTCCGTCGTTACAGAAAAGTAAATAGGGAAAAATTTTGGGTCTGAAAAGTTTTTCGTAGCAACTTGAGATTTCCCAACCTAGTTCAATTTTGGACGAAATAAGAGTCATTAAGGTGTAGGGAATCTTGTAGCAATCGGGTGATTTGTTTATAATTTTGATTTCATTAGTGGATAGATAACACGTTAATGAATCCGTACGAATTTATGGAATTGAATTTAGCTGAGTAAAACTCCCGAAATCGATCTTAGCGTGAATGGATTTTTCTGAGTGTCGTTGGTTACAGGTGTATTGTGAAATGAGGGTGCTGGAATTAATTAAATAGCTCACTGTTTCATGCAAGCGGCTTTGGCGTTGAGTTTTGTCGCTCTGGTGGGGCCGCTGTAGCGGGGTGGGTGCCTCTGTGACGGGCCAGACGTAACGTAAAGTCGTAAACAAACCTAAAAACGTCTTTATTCTAGACTTTTTGACTTTGAGAGATAAGGAACGACCGCATAAGACTTCTTGACAATTTTCACCATTCCTGAAGATAATTTCACTTCCCGAATACATTTTAAATCCGTAAAACCTATTTTATTGGGTT